AGTAGAGAAGTCGAGGGAGTGAAGCTCGTAGTCGCGCTGTGCTGCTACGTGTAGCAGCGCCCGAAGAGTGGTCATCTTCGGGGTCCGGGCGAAGGTCTGGAAGAAGTCAACCCCCTCTCGCTGACTGAAACCTCTGGCCACGTAGCGCGCCTTGAAGACAGGCGGCTCTCCAGGGGGGCGCTTCACCTTGAAGAGCCAGCGGCCATCGACTACGTTCACCCCAGGCGGGGGAACTGCGTCGACGTAAGTGCCGGTGGACCTCCAAGATGCCATCTCCTGCTCCATGGCAGCTATCCACTGAGAGGCCCAAGGTCCCGAGGTGGCCTCAGCGTAGGTGCGAGGGGTCGGGATATCGAAGGCGTCTGGGTCACCCTCAGGGACTAACAGCATGGAGCAGAGATGGGGAGCAGCCTCGGAAAGGAAAGCAAGCTCGTACTGCCTGTCCTCTAGGACGTCACTGCCAAGGGCAGGAGCACCCCCGACGGACGGAGGACGGGCAGGATCAGAGACCAGAGCGGTAGCGTAGTCAAGGTGGCGGGTAGAGGCGAAGTCAGCGACAGCAGCGACAAGCGCGTCAAGGCGCGAGACATGAGCAGCAGGGTCGGTAACAAGAGAGGCAAGGACCCGAGGGACAAGGGGACGAGCGGCACGGAGGTAGTCAGAGAACGGAGGAGGTGCAACAGCAAGGGACGAGGGAGGAGTGGACGGGAGGAGGGGAGGACGAGACGAGCGGGAACGGAGCAACATAGGGTGGGTGGGCAGGACGGGAGAGACGGGACGAGCACGGGAGGGACGGCGAGCCCAAACGTGAGACGGAGGTGTAGGGTCAGGGGACAGCGGAGGGGACACAGGAGGGGAACGAGGAGGAAGACGGGCCGGAGACGAGTCCAGCGGCGGGAACACAGGACCGTAGATAGGAAGGTCAGCAGGCGGTGGGGGAGACACCGGCGCGTGGTCCGGGGAGGGAAGGCCGAGCAGGTGGAGAGCGGAGACCGGCGGCGACGGCTGCTGCGGCTGCTGCGACAGCTCGGCCGGAACCCTCGGACCAGCAGAGGCAGGACGACCGTCGGCGGAACCCTCAACAGCAGCACCCCCAGAACCAACACCCCCAGAGCAAGAACCCCCTCCAACTCCAGCGGCACCCCCGGGAGCCGCAGGACGAACACCCTCCTCAACGCAAGCACCCCCAGAGGCCAACGGCGGCAGCGGCGGCGGCGGCGACGGCGGCTGCGGCAGTGGCGGTGACTGCGACTGCGACGGCGGCGGCGGCGGCGGCGACAGCGACTGCGGCAGGGAAGGCGGAGACACCGGGGAAGGGGGACGCGGCAGGGACGGGCCGGGGGGACCACCAGAGTCAGCAGACTCCTCAACGGGGACAACCGACGGGAGGGGAGTAATGTGAGAGACACCAGACGGGGCAGGACGAGGCGGGAGAGGAGCAGGGGCTAACGGGGGAGAGGGAGCCAGGAACAGGGGCGGGGCAACCGGGAGACCTCGGTGAGGGAAGCGGCGGTAGAAGGAGACAGACTCGTCAAAGGTGACATCACGAGAGTGGAGGAAGCGGTGAGACGGCGGGTGGTAGAAAAGCAAGTCAGACGAGTCCAAGGGAAAACCGAGGAAGACACAGGGGACAATGCGGGCAGTGAGCTTGTCCATGCCAGAGGCACGAACGTGAGCAAGGCAGCCCCAGACGTGGAACGCAGACGCGTCACCGGGGGACCCGGTCCAAAGGACGGTCGGTGAAACCTGCGGCCGCTGGGAGCGTGGCCACAAGTTAAGCTGGTGAGCAGCGTAGCGAACAGCAAACGGCCACAGAAAATGGGGGGCATCGGCATGAATCATGGAGGTACGGGCGACCTCCATGACCAAGCCGATGCGGCGCTTAGCAACCCCATTCTGCTGTGGGGAGACCAGCAAGGTGTACGACTGGGTGATGCCCTCCGCACGACAGAACTGTCCAAGCCGACCAGAGGCAAACTCGCCGCCACGGTCAGAGTGGAGACACAACACGGGGAGACCGCGGTGGAGACGCGCAGCCACAACCCACGGGAGAAGAACGTCGGGCACGTCCGCCTTCCGCTCCAGGGGAAACACCGTGGTGTAGCGCGGGTAGTCGTCGACGAGCACAAGGAAGTAGCGCTCGCCGCGCGGTCCGGGGACGGGGGCAGGGCCCCAAACGTCCAGGTGCAGGGTCTGAAGGGGGGCAGTAGCAGGGCGCAGCGAGGAGGAGTGAGGAGCAGGGCGGAGCCGACCCTCGACGCAAGGCGTGCACGGTGGCGCAGTCGAGGGAGGAAGGGCAGGGAGCGACGCGGGGAGACCTAAAACAAGACCATGCTGGGACATGTGACGCAGACGAGGGAGAGCAGGGTGACCTAAGCGGTGGTGCCAGAGAAGGGACGGGTGAGTGAGGGACCGACACGAGCAAGCTGCAGCGACCTGGGAGGACCCACCAACCGGGGGGGAAGCGGTGTCTAGGGTAAACAGACCGAACACCGGGTCTCGGGGGAACGTCGCAAGGGGGGAACCTGAGACAGCCTCAGAACAGACAGCGAACCGCTCGTGCCCGGGGAACGTGGTGGTGACGCCGAGGTCCTGGAGACAGCCGACACCAACCAGGTTCCTCGAGAACGAGGGAACGTGGAGGCCTGTAAGGGAGCCCGAGGGAACTGCTGGACAGGGAAGGGACGTAGACCTGCGAGCGACAACAGGACCCGCAGAGGGGTCAGCGAGAGAGACAACAGCAGGCGCAGCAAGCGGCGTGAGCGTGGAACGGACGCGGAAGAAGCAGGCAGAAGCACCGGAGTCGAGAGTGAAGGACAGCGAAGCAGTGGCGGAGGCCGGGGACGGAGCCGGTGTAGCGACTAGACTAGACAAGCTAGGCAGTCCTACGCCTGACGCAACAGGGGAGGCTAAGCTACACAATGGTGCAACACCTAAACTAGAGTACACTGGGTAATAAGATCCAGCAACACTAGAAGCGTCAGAATACAAAGCATGCAAAGCAGCACCTATCTGATCCATGTCTAACTCAAATATCGGCACGCCCTGGCGGAGCAGGCTGTGCCAGTCGGGGAGGTCCGGGGTCGGGCCAAAGCGACAACGAAAGAGATCGTCGAGGCGGCGGAAACAGCGGGCGGTCGGGTGCGGGCGGCGGCACAGAGTGCCGCGAAGAGGCCCGGTTTGAAGCTGGTACTGGTAGGTGACAGCACCGGAGCCGCCGGTAGACGCCAAGCTGCGCGGGCCGCCACCATGGCCACTACCTCCGGAGGTGCCAGGCCAGCCAGGCGGGAGACGGGCCCACGGCTGCGGCGACTGCTGCTGGGACGGCGGCTGCTGCTGGGGCGGCGGCTGCGGCTGGGGCTGCTCCTGCTGCGGCTGGGGCTGCTGCTCCTGCCCACCAGTGGTAGTCCCCGCAGGCAGACTACCGTCACCACCACCACCACCACCACCACCTGCGCCACCATCCCTACCTCCCTGGCGACCATCTAAGTAAGCTTTGGCTGTCTCAACAGTAGCAAAACGCGAGCGCTCAGACACAGGGAGGGCGTGGCTAATAGCAACCTGAGCTACTGCATCGCGGGAGTCCCAGACCGCACAGGCAAGCGCAGCAGTAGAGAAGGCCTCATGGTCATCAGATGAGGGATCAGCAGGGAGGGGAGCAGCGGCAGGGGGGCGGGGGAGCAAGCCATCGACGTGGACAACCAAGGAGTGGCCATCCTGGCGCTGACCAGTAAGGTGGCGGCGGAGATCGGAGAGCCAGGCGGCGAAGTCAACCGCATGGCCCTCGGCGTCCAATCGGAGCACGAAGTCAGCCATCGTGCAGGGTCAGCGGCACAGCTCCACAGGAACACAGCGACGCAGGGACACGGCGGCATCACTCTCCAGCACGGCAGCCGCGAGGCGCCCCAGCACTGGCGAGCAGAGTAGACGGAGCCCGAGGTGGCACGGCAGAATGAGCAGGCACGAAGATGGGCCTTGCGGGCAGTGGGAGAGGCCAGGCAGGCGCGGAGGGGCCAGGGAGGCGCGGCGGGGCCAGGCAGGCGCGGCGGGGCCAGGGAGGCGCGGCGGGGCCAGGCAGGCGCGGCGGGGCCAGGGAGGCGCGGCGGGGCCAGGCAGGCGCGGCGGGGCCAGGCCGGCGTGGAGGGGCCAGGCAGGTGCGGCGGGGCCAGGCAGGCGCGGCGGGGCCAGGCAGGAGCGGCGGTGCCAGGCAGGCGCGGCAGGGCCAGGCAGGCGCGGCGGGGCCAGGCAGGCGCGGCGGGGCCAGGCAGGCGCGACGGGGCCAGGCAGGGTGCGACGGGGCCAGGCAGGGCGCGACGTGGCCAGGCGGGCGCGACGGGGCCAGGCAGGGCACGACGGGGCCTAGCGGGCGCGACGGGGCAAGGCAGGGCGCGACGGGGCCCAGGAGGGGCGCGACAGGGCTAGGAGGCGCAGCGGGGCCCAGGAGGGGCGCTAGGAGGCGCGACGGGGCCCAGGAGGGGCGCGATGGGGCGAGGAGGCGCGACAGGGCTAGGAGGCACAACGGGGCCCAGGAGGGGCACGACGGGGCTAGGAGGCACGACGGGGCCCAGGAGGGGCGCGACGGGGCTAGGAGGCGTGACTGGGCCCAGGAGGGGCGCGACGGGGCTAGGAGGCGTGACGTGGCCCAGGAGGGGCGCGACGGGGCCCAGGAGGGGCGCGACGGGGCTAGGAGGCGCGACGGGGCCCAGGAGGGGCGCGACGGGGCTAGGAGGCGCGACGGGGCCCAGGAGGGGCGCAACAGGGCCAGGAGGCGCGACGGGGCCCAGGAGGGTAGCGACGGGGCTAGGAGGCGCGACGGGGCTAGGGGGCGCGACGGGGCCCCAGGGTGGGGGGGGGGGGGGGCGGGCGCGGCGGGGCCTAGCTAGGGTACGGGCGGAAGCGGTAGGTGGGGGATGCTAACCTACGCTCTGATATCATGTTAAAGTAAGAACTGAATGATTGACTAGAAGTTGAAACCTAGAACAAATACTAGTTGGTTGTACTCACTAGAAGCATACCTCAGTCTAGCCTATAACTTCTACATAGCTAATATGTATAAGTTGACACCCCCCTCCACATCCCTCTCCCTCGCCCTTCCCCTCCTCTTTCCCCTCCCCCATGCACCTTACACCCCCTGCTGTGCGTTTGGCAATTGCCAAGACAACGGACTGAAAGGCGGAGAGAGGGAGGGAGTCTTAGCGATCCTCTCCCCTCCCTCCCCCCCCCTCTCCTTTACCACTCTTCCCCTCACTCATCACTACCACCCTTACCCTCCTTGGCTCTCCCAAGAGCCAATTCCTTCAGTCCCTTGAGTGAAGCGACCACATCCACCCTCTCCTTTCCGTCCTCCCCCTCTCCCTCCGCCCCCCGGCCGTTCCCACCAGCTGCACGCTTGCCAATGGCCGCGACAACGGCAGAGTGAAAGGCGGAGAGAGAGGAGAAGTCGGCGGGAGAGAGCGAGGGCTTGAGGTGCGATATGATGGAGGAGAGGGCACGTCCCGGGGCTTGAAGGGCTTTGTTGTGCGCCTGTGCAGTATGGGGAGGAGGGAAGGGCACCAAGGGATAGAGAATAGAAGAGGGGAAGCAGAGAGCAGATGACGCAAGAGAGGGCATGCGGTGCAAGATGATGGAGGAGAGAGCTCTACCAGGGGCCTGACGAGCCTTGTTGTGCGCATGTGGAGTATGGGGAGGAGGGAAGGGCAGGAAGTGAGAGAGAATGGAGCAGGGGAAGCAGAGAGCAGATGATGCAAGGGAGGGGTCTATTTTTGAGGCGCCTAAAAAATAGACTCCTCACGCAGGGGAAGCAGAGAGTAGATGATGCAAGGGAGGGCCTGAGGTGCAAGATGATGGAGGAGAGAGCTCAGCCAGGGGCCTGACGAGCCTTGTTGTGCGCCCGTGCAGTGGAACAAGTGGTGGTGGGGTGGGGTGGGGGGGTTGGGGGTGGGGGTCAAAGGAAGGGAAGAGAGGTTGAGAGGGATGGCTGGAGATGGAGAATGGCGGAGGAGAGGACACGACCCCGTGCTTGAAGGGCCATGTTGTGCGCCCTGTGCAGAGTCAGGAGGCGAAGGAAAAGTGGAGGGGGGAACTGGGGAAGGGGTAAGGGTGAGGCATTAGCCCTGAAACGGCTCATCTACATTAGATGTCACTTGCAGAAAGGCTAAGTAACGACTGGAAGAAAAAGGTCGGGGGTTGTGGTTGTGATGATCGAGTGAAGTTAAGTTAGCAGCGTATGCACGGCTAACTTGACACTGTAAAAAGCGGGCAGAATCCTGGGTTACATCTAGCCCTAACACACTAAAAAGACTTTTTGAATCGTTTCAAATGCAGAACGAGGGGCAGAATCCTGACAATCCCAGGTTACAACCTAAGGCCCAACACCCTAAGGCCCGACACCTTAAGACCCAACGAGCTACCTGCATGAATAGCAGAGCCACAATCAGGGGCAGCGCTGCTACAGGGTCCTCCTCTGCCTCCAGCTGCATGTGAAGGCTCTGATGGGGGGAAGGGAGAGGGGGAAAGATACAGGCAGGGTTGTGGAGACAAGGGGATCTGAAAGGCATGAATAACAGAGCCACTATCAGAGGCAGCGCTGCTACAGGGTCCTCCTCTGACTCCAGCTGCATGTGAAGGCTCTGATGGGGGCAAGGGAGAGGGGGAAAGGCAAGAATAGGGGGGTTTGGAGACAAGTGAAAGAAGCTCTCCAATAGAGTGCTCCTCCAAATCCAGGTGACGCTGAAGACTCTGATAAAACGAGGCAAGACGGATGCAGAAACGTGACAGGAAAACGGGGGTTTAGGAGCAAGTGGAACAACCCTCTGAATCCTCATCTTAAAGCCAATAAATTGCTCCAATGGGATCCTCCTACTCTGACTCCAGCTGCAGCTGAACGCTCTCTTGTGGGAGAAAGAAAGAGCAGAGAAGTCCAGAAAGAGGGGTTAAGAAACAAGTAAACGAAGCACACCAATGCTTTTGAATTGATTCAGAAGCAGAGGGGTTAAGTAAGGGAGACAAGTAAAAGAAGCGCTCCAATGGGGTGGGATCCTCCTCTGACTTGAGCCTCAGCCTCCCACTCAGCCCCTCGATCGTACCGCTTGAGAAACAGGCCGAGTTTCTAAATCTACTAGAGAGAATCCAGACGCACTTACCTTTTTGAGGGAGAAGAGCAGGGAGCGCTCAGCCCTCTTGTCCGGGCGCTAGAGTCAGATCCCGAGACCCTTCTCAGAAACTTCTTTTATGGTCCCCACCACCCCCTTCATCTCCTTCCCCTCCATCGCTTCAACCATCCGCTGCGCTGCGCTGTGTTTTGCTTTTGAGAATTCTCAAAAACAAAACGCTCCCTTGGCCCTCCTGTAGGAAGAAGCTTGGCTACATCTGCTCTCCTCGTAGGCGTGTGAGTAGTAGATAGACGTGGGCAAAAAAAATCGCATCGCATCGCATTTAATCGCATTTTTGCGATGGCGATGTTTTTTTTTTTTTTTAATCATCGCGCAATGCGATGAATTAATATCGCGCGATTTAATTTAAATCGCATTTTAATCGCGCTTAAAAAACGCGATTTAAATGCGATATGCGATTTTTAAAAAATTGCGCGCGATATTGCACTGAAACCCACTCTGAAACCCACTACGAAACCACACTGGTTATTTGCACTCTAGCTTACGACTGCCCGTGAGTCAATTTCCCCGCAGCCATGGTTTTTTTCTGTTTTTTTGGGGTGTTTTTTTATTCTGTTTTAAAACGCGATGCGATTTAAAATCGCATTGCGCGATTTAATTAAATATCGCATGCGATTTTTTAATACATCGCGGGTAAAATGCGATGTGCGATTTTTTTTTTTAGAAAAATAAATCGCGCGATGCGATTTAAAATCGCATCGCTTTTTTAAACATCGCACCTGCATGCGATGCGATTTAAATCGCAATCGCGTTTTGATCATGTCTAGTAGTAGATTGGGATTAGGGGGAGAGGCTTAGTGAGTGCGACTCACCTTTTTCAGGGAAAAAAGCAGGGAGCGCTCGGCCCTCTTGTCCGGGCGCTTGAGCCGGATCCCGAGATCTTTCTCAGCAACTTCCTCCATGGCAACAACCACCCCCTCCACCTCCTTCCCCTCTAACGCCTCAACCATCCTCTGCGCTCGCTCCCGTGGCCCTCCTAAAGGGAGCAGCTTGGCTAGTGCAGCTCTCCTTGCCGGCGTGTAGTGGATTGGAGTCGAGCCGAAAACTAATGCTCCTCCACCCCCTGCTGCTGCTGCTGCTGCTGGGGCCCCACCCTGTTTTTCTCCCCCCATCCCTCCTCCTTCTCTTCCTCCTTCCCTGGCTGCTTTTGCCCCATTGCCATCTTGTTGCTCCCCTGTTGGCCTCCTACTCTCACTCCCGCCGCTGCTGCTGCTGACGTCATCCTGGGCGGTGATGATGTCATGGTCGAGAAGCACAGCGTGCAGAAGCAGATCGACAGGCTCGGCAGCCGAGGTTCGGAGAACATGGCGGGAAATGAGGGTCTGGCAAAGGGAGGGGAAGGGTAAATGAATGTTGACAAGGATTGGGGGTGGGGGGGTTGGTGGAATACACGAGGTATGCAGAGCAGAGGCTTTGATTAGTAATAAGCTGAGTGGAGGCCTTGCTTAAGAGAAAGCTGAGCGGAGGGTCTAGGGAGCTCTGAATGGGAGTTTAGAGAACAGGGCAGGAGATGAGGGTCTGGATCAAAAGGGGGGAGGGAGAGAAGAATGGGTGGGGGAGGAAGGGGTGCCAGTGCTACCAAGGGAAGTGAGGATTTGAGCGGAGGGAGGAAAGAGAAACAAATTGGGTAAGTGGAGAGTGGCTTCAGAGAGTAGCAAACAGAAAATGAGCACGCTTACCGCCGTGCTTGTATCATCATCCGAGCTGGACACCACTTCTCCATGTGCGTACAGCAGCAGCATGGAGAAGTGGTGCCCAGCAGGTGACCTAAGAGTTGGTTCAATTAGCACCCCTTAGAGCACCACTTACCACAGCGCTTGCATCATCTGAGGTGAAAACCGCTGCTCCATGCGAGTACAGCAGCTGCTGGCCCAACAGGTGGCCCAACAGGTGGCCCAACAGGTGGCCCAACAGGTGGCCCAACAGGTGGCCCAACAGGTGGCCCAACAGGTGGCCCAACAGGTGGCCCAACAGGTGGCCCAACAGGTGGCCCAACAGGTGGCCCAACAGGTGGCCCAACAGGTGGCCCAACAGGTGGCCCAACAAGTGGCCCAACAGGTGGCCCAACAGGTGGCCCAACAGGTGGCCCAACAGCTGGCCCAACAGCTGGCCCAACAGCTGGCCCAACAGGTGGCCCAACAGGTGGCCCAACAGGTGGCCCAACAGCTGGCCCAACAGCTGGCCCAACAGCTGGCCCAACAGGTGACATTAGAGTTGGTTCAACCAGCACCTCTTAGAGCACCACACACCGCAGTGCCCACATCATCTGACGTGAAGACCGCTGCTCCATGTGCATACAGCAGCTGCTGGACCCGCAGGTGACATATGAGTTGCTTTCATTGCCGCACTTACCGCAGTGCTTGCAGCATCTGGGATTCTGGGGAAAGCACCGCAGCCCCATGCACGTATAGCCGCAGCTGGCCCAACAGGTACCCTTTCAATCAGCACCTCCTAAAGCACCACACCACATACCGCAGTGCTTGCATCATCTGGGATTCTGGGTATAGCCGCAGCTGGCCCAACAGGTACCCTTTCAATCAGCACCTCCTATATCAGATGGGAAAACATAGGATTCGATCCGCAGCAAGCCTCCTAAGAATTCTCAAAAACACCCTTTAAATCAACACCTCCTATAGCACCACACCACATACCGCAGTGCTTGCATCATCTGAGGTGAAGACCGCTGCTCCATGTGCATACAGCAGCAGCTGGCCCAGCATCCCATTCACTCGAGACTCCACTGCCTCCCGAACCTGCGGACACGTAAATCCAATTAAGCAAGACTCTTAAGCATGACTCTTAAGCATGGTTCTTATTCAATGAAGCATATAAAATCTAACACACTAGGAAAGGCTTTCAAATGTTTCAAATTCAGCTCGATTCCTTGTCGCAAGAAGCTGAGTGATAGTAATTTCAAATTTCGTCTTGAGTCGACTCAAAACGATTCCCCGTCGCAAGAAGCAGAGCCAGCTCTGCTAGTTAATCTCGGTTCCCCAAACCATATGAAACGACTCATCCGAACCTGTCGCCGAGCCTCGGTGGTGCTGCCGGACGTGAAGGCTGCGGCTCGGCGCTTCTCCTCCGCCCAATAGGCTGCGAGGGCGGGCCTCAGGGCGGCCACTAGCAGACGAGCGAGGCCGGCCGAACCCTCGCCCTCAGTCAAGTCGCCATCACTGCCGTACCCATCAGCAGCATCGTCATCTGTTGACGGTGGGCAAATACAAGGGGGGGGGGAGTCGGGGGAATGGATAACGTGTGAATCGACTCAAAAGGCGCGACCAGTGCCATACCCATCAGCAGCGTCATCATCTGATGGGTTGGAAAAATGAGAAGGGGAGAGGGGGGAGAAGGGGAGCGGAAGAGGGGTAGGCGGGGGGGGGGGGGGGGGGGGGAGACCAGGAGAACAGATGGCGACTGGTGAATCTGTGTAGGTACTCTTCACAATGACTGGGACAGTGAGGGAAAGAGCATACCAGCAACAGTGGCTTCTAGAAGCTCAGGATGCCACTTCAGCACCAATCGTGTCATCTCAGACGTGGTCAGCATCGCCTCGTCTTTTCTGCCCGTCCCCTCCGCTCCTCCCCTCTCCCCCTCCACCTCACCCTCCTCCCTCCCCTTCCCTCCTCGCCCTCCTCCTCCGCCTTTCCCCCTCCCTCCCTTCCCTCCTCCCTTCTTCCTCCCCTTCCCTCCCTTCCCTCCCGTTTCCTCCTCTTCTTCCTCCTCCTCCACCTCCCTTCCTCCACCCCTCTTTCCTCCCCCCTTCCCCCCTCCTTTCCCTCCCCGTTTCTCCTCTTTATCCTCTCCTCCCTTCCCTCCTGCACTCTTATCTCCCCCTCCTCCCCCACCCCCTCCTCCCCCTCCCCCTACCACACTCCTAGTGCTTGCTCTCGCTGCTGCTGCAGCCGCCACTGCTTTCTCATGCAACACTGACTGCAGTTGCTGATAAATAGACTGCATAAAGTGAGAAGAGCGAGGAGGAAGGAGGTATGCAACAAAAAGATGGCGAGAGAGGTTGAAGGGGCAAGACTGACTGCAGCTGCTGATAAATAGACTGCAGGGGGGGAGAAGGGCGAGGGGGAAGGATGTATGGAACAAAGAGAGCGCGAGAGAGGGTTGAGGGTGCATGCAACACTGACTGCAGCTGCTGATAAGTAGACTGCAGGGGGGGAGAAGGGCGAGGGGGAAGGATGTATGGAACAAAGAGAGCGCGAGAGAGGGTTGAGGGTGCATGCAACACTGACTGCAGTTGCTGATAAACAGACGGCTCAGGAACACCAACGGTGGGGAAAGACGACGATGGGTACAAGGGAGAGTGCCGAAGCATGGGTAGGTGGGAAGGAGGATATGTGAGAAAGTGGGTGCGAGGGAGGGAGCATTGAATGTACGAATGGGAAAGGGGGTAGGGTGGGGGTGGTGGTGGTGGTGGTGGTGGTGGTGGTGGTGGTGGTGGGGTTGGTGGGGGCGAGAGGGGGAAGAACACGCATAGCAGCATTCCTACTATGCCGATTCCACATGGCTCCAAATGCATACCTGTAGGAGAGCAGACGAGACGACACACGTGTCCCCATACACCTCTGCTCCACCCAAACCCTGCCCCTCTGGAGCAGCAGCAGGAGAGGCACCAGCAACAGCAACACCTGTCACAAATGTCCCAACACCAGAAAGGACATACCTGTAGGAGAGCCGAGGATACGACACACGTGTCCCCATACACCTCTGCCCCATCCAACCCCTGCCCCTCAGCAGCAGCAGCAGCACCAGTAGCACCAGCAATGGCAGCGGCTTTGCGTGCTCTCTGCAGCACGGGGCACAGCTGCAGCAGCTGGGAGCAGTCGGAGTGGGAGAGAGCCGGAGGGAGGGTTGTTGTTGCATCACACCTGGAAGGGATAGGGAGGTGAGAAGTGAGGGGGAGTGGGGTGGGTGGGGGTCTTATGTACTACCAGCTATGGCGTCACCCATGCAGCTTTGCGTGCTCTCTGCAGCACGGAGCACAGCTGCAGCAGCTGGGAGGAGTCCGAGTGCGAGAGAGCGGGGGGGAGGGTTGTCGCCGCGTCACACCTGGCCAGAAGGGAAGGGGAAGGGGAAGGGGGAGGGTGAGGGGGAGGGGGAGGGAGTGGGAGTGGAACTTATTTGCACTGGGTCTGCAGCACGGAGAAGTCTAGTTTTGAGGCGCCTCAAAACTAGACTTCTATCACGCGGTTTTTGAGGCGCCTCAAAACTAGACTTCTATCACGAGGGAGTGGGAGTGGAACTTATTTGCACTGGGTCTGCAGCACGGGGAAGAGCTGTAGCAACGAGACCCAGTGCAGTGTCTTCTGGAGCACTGCAGCAATGAGGAGCGGCCAATTCCGTGTCGAGTCGAGTCGAGTCGAGTAGGTTCGAGTGCAGGAACCGACTGCAGGAACCGACTGCAGGAACCGACTGCAGGAACGGACTGCAGTCGGTTCCTGCTGTGACTGCAGCACAACATTGACTGCAGGAACCGACTCCTGCACAGCACAGCAGGAGGCGGTTCGACTGCATCTGATCCCTAAGCTTGAACCACAATCTCCATGCTTGATTTTTGAGGCGCCTCAAAAAACAATCTCCATGCTTGCATAGCATCCCCAACCCACCATTCCTTGGGGGCGCTGCACCACTGAGGCGTGCACTCGTAGTGCATCAACTGTCGCTCGCACCGAGCAGCAAAGCACTGTTCTGTCAACGCTTACAACAGAAATTCCCATGCCCTTTCAACCCCAACCCACCAGGATTTTGCCGAGATCGCCTCTTCCACTGCAGCGTCCAGCTGGTGCACCAATGAGGAATGCACAAGTGTCGAGTCAACCAGCGAAGCGCTCTACTCCCAACCTTGCTTACTACGGCAATCCCCATGCTCCTAACACACTCACCAGGATTTTGCTGATATCGCCTCTTCCACGGCAGCGTCCAGCTGGTGCACCAATGAGGAGTGGACAAGTGTCGAGCCCAGCAATAGAGCACTCTCCTTATCCGGGAACAGCGACTGCAGGTACTGCTTCGGCTGGGGGATGCCCAATTGGCGCACAGCGGAAAAGGTGATGAAGGCGTTCTGAAGGAAGGGGAAGGGCGGAAGGGGGTAGAGGGAGGGGGAAAGAGGGGGCAGAAATACAGTGCGAGAAGAAGGCCTCGACGCACTGCCTCTGCAGCTGAGCAAATAACTCCGGCACCCACCCCGTGCCCGCTCCCATCCCCCAATCCTCCCAAACTAGGCCAAGCCCAGGCGCTCAAGAGCGAAAAGAGTCAAACAGTGCGACAAGCAGAGGGACAAGCCGCTCACCTGCGAGAAGAAAGCCTCTACGCTCTGCTTCTGCAGCTGCGCAAATATCTCCGGCACCCACCCCGTTCCCCCTCCCTTGCTGCTCCCCCTCACCTCCCCCTCCGCCACGCACTCTCCAAACACCCGCCCAAACAACGCCGCCTCTGCCGCCCCCACCGCCTCAACCTTCCCCCCAGCAGCACCCACTCCTGCTGTCCCTGCCCCAGCTCCTCCCAAGCCTCCTGCCCCTTCTCCCTTAACAACTTGTGCTTCTGATGTGCCTGTTTCTTTCTCCATTGCCTGAGACACCCCTACAACTGGCTCCATGCCAGCAGCACCAGCAGCATCACCAGCATCAACATCAGCACCAGCAGCAGCACCACCAGCAGCAATAACACCAGAAGACGCACCAGCAGCAGCACCACCAGCAGTACCAGCACCAGCAGAAACGCCTTCCCCTGCTACTCTCCTAGCCTCCTTCCCATCCCCATACTCCCTACCATAGTCCCTCCCCAGCTCGCGAGACACAGAGGGCCAGATATCCGCCATATTAGCAGCCTCGGTAAGAGCCCTGGCCGCCCCTCTAACAGCAGCTTTCATACGCGCCATGTGTGCTCCTGTGAACAGCTGGCCGCCGCTCATAGTGCCGTGGATCTGAGACATGTGGGACGAAGGGAGAAACGGAGGGAAGCGGGGGGGTGGCGAGTCTATTTTTGAGGCGCCTCAAAAATAGACTCCTCACGCTCATAGTGCCGTGGATCTAGAACCAAAAGGACGAAGGGAGAAACGGGGGGAAGCGGGGGGTTGGGAGGGGAGAGGGGGGGGGGGGGAGAGGGAGGTGGGTGGGAGCGGGTTTGGAGCATGTGTGAACAAAAGAGCCCTGGCTACCCCTCTGACGGCAGCTTTCACACGCGCGCCATGTGTTCTCCTGTGAACAGCTGGCCGCCGCTCATAGTGCCGTGGATCTGAGACATGTGGGATGGGCAGGGTGGGGTGGGGTGGAGTGGGGTGGAGTGGGGTGGGGTGGGGTGGGTTGGGGTGGAGTGGGGTGGGGTGGGGTAGAGTGAGGGCGGGGAGGGGTGGGCTGGGGTATGTGTGTGTGACGTGACATGCAAGCAGCCAGCACGAAAACAGAACGCCACTCACCGTGGATCCGAGGCGGTCCGATAGCACTGTGGCCATGAGCTCTGCTCCCACGTTGAAGCGCATGGCCAGGCCAGACACCGCCACCTTCCCACCCTCCAGCCAACCACCCTCCCAGACACTACCTTGAGGCTATAAACCAGACGCCACGTTTGATTTGAACCTTGTGAGACTGCTCACCCGTGAGTGATCCCAGGCCGTCAGACAGCACTGAAGCCATTAGCTCCGCGCCCACGTTGAGGCGCATGGCCAAATCAGAGACTGCCACCTGTCCACTAGAGAACCGAGGCCATGCATCAACACTGAAAGACGACTCACCCTTGACCCCAGGGGGTTCAGACAGCCCTGCAGCCATGAGCTCCGCCCCAACGTTGAGGCGCATGGCCAAGTCAGACACTGCCACCTGTCCACCCTCCAGCCCCAGAAACTACCTAGAATTTCTCAGTCCTGTTTCACTCTCCCTCACCCATGATCCCAGGGTGCCAGACAGCACTGAGCCATGAGCTCTGCACCCACGTTGAAGCGCATGGCCAGACTTAAGACGAATGAACAGTAGTCTGTAGAGCAGCACTCACCCGTGATCCCAGGCGGTCGCTGAGAACTGTGGCCATGAGCTCTGCACCGACATTGAAGCGCATGGCCAGGTCAGAAACCGCCACCTGCCCGCTCTCCTGCAGGGCCGCATCCACCTCATCCGCCACCCCGTCCCAGTAGTCACCGGTAATCAGCTCGCCCTGCACCAGTTGAACCTGCAAGGAACAGGGGTAGGAGGAGTCGACAGAGTTACACCTGGGAGGTCAGGTCAGGCCCACATGCAGGACGCATTCAATTGCTTGCGGGCGGTGGTGTTGGCGACGAGCTTGAGGAAGGTACGTACGCTCCCACAAGGCAGCCATAAGTCTCTCCAACGTATCTCCCTCTCTCTCACCCCCTCACCCTCGCACTCTCTCCCTCCCTCTCACTGTTTTTCTCCCCTCTCACCCCCGTGTGCTCTGTGCTGGTTCTTTGCACCCATTGCTTTCGATCGTCAGTGAATAGTCCGCAGTGAAGGAGGCTACCCACGAGCTCGAGGAGGGAGAAATCGAAACATGTTCAAATTCGTAAAACCTACCAGGAAGTGAAGAATAAGCTGCATGATTCTTTTATGCATTTGCGTTGTGGATCTGGTGTGTGATATAATATTTGGCGGGAAAGAAACACATTCCTGATCTATGACGCAATGGCATAAAAACATCATGCACTTTATTCTTCACTTCCTGGTCGGTTTTACGAATTTGAACATGTTTTGATTTTTCCTTCTCGAGCTCGCAGGTAGCCTCCTCCACTGCGGACGGTTCGCTGACGACGAAAACGATAGCTGCCAAGAATGGTGAACCATATTGGCCTGTGAATTATACATACTTACCCAAGGCTGCTACTCTTTGTTGGCGCCATCCAGAATGGACTTTGCCGGCCGTTCGCAATACAAGAGGTCGACATTGAGCAGAGTGCCCATGTCCACTAATGACACCCTGCCACGGTGATTCCACTAGCCACGACCTTGCGACTATAACCGAAACGCACACCACAACACACAATTTAAACCCATGGCTGTTGCTGCTTGCTGGCGCCATCCAGAATGGTCTTCGCAGCCCGTTCGCAGAAGAAGACAAGTGGTCCACGCTGAGCATTGTGCCCATGTTCACAGTCCACCAATGCTGACTTCGCAATATGCGGATCGTAAATGTAGCACCGTGAGTGACTGTAACAGTAACAAACACCACAACACAACACATACCCAGGGCTGCTGCTGCTTGCTGGCGTCCTCCAGAATGGTCTTCGCCGCCCGTTCGCAGTAGAAGAGGTCGACGTTGAGCAGCGTGCCCATGTCCACCAATGACACCCTGCCACGTTGCCGCACCTCCGCCTCCACCTCCTGCTGCAGGCGCTCCTGGAATGGGGGAGGGGGGTCGGGGGGGAGGAACGGTGGAAGATACGAGGGGGCATGGTCAAATCGATACCGTGCTGGCGCACCTCCGCTCCGCCTACACCTCCTGCTGCAGGCGCTCCTGAAATGGGGGGGAGAAGAGGGGGGGAAGCGGGGGGGGGGGAACGGAGGAGGACACGGGGGGGAATGGTTATCTCAACACCCTGCCATGTTGGCGCACCTCCGCCTCCACCTCCTGCTGCAGGCGCTCCTGTATTGGTGGGGGGGGGAGGGAGAGACAAGGAGCGGCAGCATTGAATGAACTGAGTTGACGAAAAAAATTGAGTCTTTTTCCATCATCCGCTGAAACTTATATACCCCCCCCCCCCTCCCACCCCCCCCCCCCCCTGTAGTGCAAAAGCATCAGTGTAGTGATGTATTCTCTACCGTTAAGCAGATACAGCAGATCGTCCCCCAGCAGGCCCATCTGCCTGAGCTTCGTCACCAGCAGTACACATATACGTATATATATACATATATATATATTCATATAGCAATATTTACTGTACCTGCGTGATGTACTCCTTCCCATTAAGCGAGTACAGCAGATCGTCCCCCAGCAGCCCCATCTGCCTGAGCTTCGTCACAAGCTCCACCACGTTCCGCTCCGACAGCCTCGTGGCCGCCTTCACCTCCTGCGCTGCCTGGAACTGCTGCTGCAATAATAGCAGTTCTTCGTCCATCTGGATTACCACAGGTGGGGAGGTGGGAGAAGAGGAGCGGTAAGGAGGACAAAGTCACACATGTCTGGGCGACAGCTCCAGCCTCCACCGCGTTTCGCTCCGACAGTCTCGTGGCCGCCTTCACCTCCTGCGCCGCCTGGAGCTGCTGCTGCAGCAATAACAGCTCCTCGTCCATCTGCGGCACAGGAGCACTGAGGAGGAAGAGGCAGACAACACGGGCGGCAGGAAAGACTGGGGGTTGGCAGACAGCCTCGTGGCCGCCTTCGCCTCCTGCGCCGCCTGGAGCTGCTGCTGCAGCAATAACAGCTCCTCGTCCATCTGAATCCAGGGCGGATTGGGGAAAGAAGGGCAATGAAACATAGGGTGGGGGTGGTAAGTGCGAGCTAGACCAACCGCCTTCACCTCCTGTGCTGCCTGGAGCTGCTGCTGCTGCAGTGGCAGCAAGTTCATCGTCCATCTGAATAAGAAGAAAATCGACGCGGTTGAGACGGAAAGGGGAGGAAAGGAAAGGAGAGGGAACGACACGAGCGCCAATGTACGCATGCTGGGGGGGAAATCAGAAAGCTGTGCGATTGGCTGCACGTCCCCAGCCTGGTCGATCCAGCGAATGCGGGGAGCGGGAGGCGGAGGAGAACTGCATAAAGAGCAAATTCTGATTTTGAGTCGACTCAAAAGCCGAGCCTTGTCGATCCAACGCATGCAGAGAGCGGAAGGCGGAGGAGAACTGGATGAAGAACCAATTCGAGTCAGGATGAATTACAATATCGAGGAACAGACGGAGCTAACGCCCTGGACGACTGACAGAGGCGGGAAACGCCGTTGAGATGAGGTTATCTTATCGTGATGGAGCGGCAGAAGAGGAGCTGCATAATCACCTTGACGATGAGTTAGTGCGACCAGTCTTATATGTCCCACGACTCTGCTAAATCCCGACGCGAGTATTTACTAAACAACGAACGGCGATTAGCTCTAGAACGTCGACCAGGGTGTTGAAGTGAAGTGAAGCAAAGAGGTACATTGGATCTCAGGAAAATTCTTCGCCAAGGCATGCCGCAGTAAGTTCATGGAAACAATAAGAGCACGTAACTTCGTATAGCATGATTTCGTATACGGTTTAGAAACGATAACTTTATTTGCTTGCATGCGAAATTCCTATAACGCATGCTGACCGACTGATGACATAAGCGGCAGTTGACCCGTCAGGTCATGCGGTCTGTGAATTTCCACGATGATTCGGAAACTTTTCACCAGGGCAGCACGTCAGGGTCAAGCAACACGTTTCCCCTCCTCGAATAAAGCATTTTTCTGGTTGGGAGCACTTTCAGCGCGTATACCACATATAAAATGTACAGTTTTCAGCCTGAGATGTCTTTCTGATGTTTTTTACACAACCCTCCCAGAGGCAATCGGTCAACGTGTTTCTTCGGGCAGAGAGCCTTGAGGGGAGCACAGCCAATCACAGAGCCATATGCTTCTCCGCATGCACGAGGATTGCTGTCAGAGGCTACGCATGGTTTGTCTTTCCTCTCCCTTCCATCTCCCTTCCTCTCTCTCTTCTCTGCAGCATCTATGGCGCCAGTCATGGATGGATGTGGCTGCCCATTGACTGGCAGGGCGAGCCTCTCACCTTCACTGTTCATTCACTTATCTCGCGAACTTCTCTTGTACAGTACATAAGCAGTCCCTCCTCACTCTCTCACAGAGTAGGCTCAGTTCGCGGGTTATCGATTTTTCTGCACATTCAGCGCCTCTGAAAAGCTCGCTAGCTTGCGCTCTTGCCGCGAGCTGCGGTCAGATTTCGTTCAAGCGACGGCACATAACCGTTCTTCGCGCTCGGTAAAGTCTATGAGTTCTCGCGCTGTGTGACAACCAATTCGGGAAAAATTCCGCCATCATATGATACGGCTGTTCAAGATTCTGTCCTACTTGTGATTCTTGAAGAATCTGGGAGTTCCTAATAGCGCGGGAGTCCTGCGCTCGTCTCGTCGAAGCCTCTCATATTCACTCCTCCTGTTTCCAATACGACATATTCTATCCTTCTAGCGCGTGTTATTCAGTCCTCTCATATTCAGTCTTTCTAGCGCGTGATATAAGAATTTTTTTTTAGACATCTTAAAAACGAAGCCTCTCATAATTAGTCCTTCCGTTTCTAATGTCACATCCGTCATTCCTGCATTTTCCCCCTAATTCAGGATTGGCTTCACGTCCCGCCATGGCTCGCGTCGCGGCATCATGGTGGATGCTGGCGCTGCTGGTGCTTCTCCCCCTCGCTACGTCAGCCGTTGCGGCGGAAATTTCCGGCGAAGCTGCCTCGGAGCCGAAGCCGGATCCTCTGTCGATCACTCCTCCTTTTCCCGTACGAGCACAGACACGATTTCATTTGAATTCAATTCAGTTTTAATTCGGATTCATTACTGCTGGTCCCTGTGACTTCTTTCCTTTTGGTTCAACCAGGCCTTTCGCACCCGCCGTGCGTCGTATACCAGCTAGCCTCGCCACGTACGTCGTTGAAACAAGACGACGCACGGCGCACTGAAATCGCTGCTCGTCTCTTTCTTATCTTCTTCAGCGTGATGCTCGCATGTCGGGGTCCACATGGGAGAACTTATTCTCTTGTTCTCGCGCCTCTTGTTCTCCCATCTTGCCAACTCGCATTTTCACCTTCTTTCTTAATCTATATCTTGCAAGTACTACTCCCTTACCATCGTCCTCCGTTTCTCTCCGCAGGGCAATGAGTTCGTGGTGCCGCAGTCCTTCCTCTTCCCCATGTTCGGCCCTCCCCACCACGGCCCTCCCGATGGCCCTCCCGACGGACCCCCTCGCCCCGACGGTCCCGGCGGCCCCGGCGGTCCCGACGGCCCTCCTCCTCGCGATCCCTTCGGCCCTCCCTTCGGTCCTGGTGGCCCCGACGGCCCCGACGGCCCCGACGGCCCTGGCGGCCCCGGCGGACCCTTTGGCGGACCCGACAGGCCCGACCGACCCGACCGGCCCCACGACCGCCCCGACCGGCCCGACTGGCCGCACGACCGCCCTCGCGCTGCTTTCGGTCCCTTCGACCCCCATGGCCCGCCGTTTGGCCCGCACCCGCCGTTTGGCCCGCACCCGCACCCCCCGTTCGGTCCGCACCCGCCTTTCGGTCCGCCGCACCCCCCGTTTGGCCCGCATCCGCCGTTCGGCCCGCATCCCCCGCCGCACCCCCCGCCGCCGGAGGCGATCAAGCTGACGTTCGAGCTGCTGGCGGCCGTGGGACGCGCGATGGGCGTGCTGTTCCATCCGGGCTCGCAGGCGGGTGAAGAGGCGACGTGCGGAGGTGAGGTCGTTTGCCGTGGGTTGGGATTGTTGGCGGCTGTTGGACGCACGATGAGGCTGCAGTGTGCGTTTCTAAGTCGTCCTTCCCTCCGTTCCTCCCCTCCGTTCCTTCCCTCCGTTCCTCGTCTTCTGAAGTGCGTTTCTACCCCTCCCTCCCTCCCTCCCTCCCTCCCTCCCTCCCTCCCTCCCTCCCTCCCTCCCTCCCTCCCTCTCCGCGCTTCAGAGTGCGTGACGTGGGCGACTAAGGCACTTTTGGAGGCACTCTCCAACGATATTACCACCAACATCTGCACTGAGGACGCCGCTGCTGCAGACCCCCCGCACCACCACTTCGTGAGTTGCGATAAGGCTGCAACACTTGTCTACTCGGCCCTCCCTCCTCTCCCCTCCTTTCCTCTCCCCTCCCCTCCCCTCTCCTCCCCTCCCCTCCCTTCCCCTCCCCTCCACTTCCCCCTTCTCCACGTCTCCTCCTTTCATACCGATTCATTTTTGCATGAAGTGGTGTCGTTATTTCTCTATCAGTCTAAGAACGGTCCCTGCACGTCCAAACCGCACTGTCCTCATTGTGCCATTTCTCTCCCCCCCCCCCCCAGTGTCACCTCTTCGCCAACCTCACTACGGCGTCAGCCATCGGTGTTTTCGACAAGCTCCACATCAACCCTCTCTCCATGGCCGTCACGTTCTGCGCCAACCATGATTCCTGCATGCCCAAGCCTCACCCTCCTGCACACGAAGCGAGTTCCGAGCCTATTTCCGAACCTGAAGTCCTGGTCGAGGAGGAGGCTGTTGCCGAAGCTACTGCCGAGGCTGGAGCCGAGGCTGTTGCCGAAGCTGATACGGTGGAGGTGTTTGCCTCAGATGAAGCTCCTCTGAAGGTGAGTGTGTCTCCAAGAACCTCTGTCCTGTGGTGTGCTCCTTCGGTTGATGTTTACCTGTGGTGTGCTCCTTCGGTTGATGTTTACCTGTGGTGTGCTCCTTCGGTTGATGTTTACCTGTGGTGTGCTCCTTCGGTTGATGTTTACCTGTGGTGTGCTCCTTCGGTTGATGTTTACCTGTGGTGTGCTCCTTCGGTTGATGTTTACCTGTGGTGTGCTCCTTCGGTTGATGTTTACCTGTCGTGTGCTCCTTCGGTTGATGTTTACCTGTGGTGTGCTCCTTCGGTTGATGTTTACCTGTGGTGTGCTCCTTCGGTTGATGTTTACCTGTGGTGTGCTCCTTCGGTTGATGTTTACCTGTTGTGTGCTCCTTCGGTTGATGTTTACCTGTTGTGTGCTCCTTCGGTTGATGTTTACCTGTTGTGTGCTCCTTCGGTTGATGTTTACCTGTGGTGTGCTCCTTCGGTTGATGTTTACCTGTTGTGTGCGCGTGTCGCTCCCTTCTTTAGAGACAGCAGAGTTGCCCCACCCCGTCTTCTGTTCTCGTCCTCCCCTCTGCCCTTCCCATTCCAGATCCGCGTTTCTAACGCCCTCGCGCCAGCTCCTGGCAGATCATCACCCCGCATGGGTATGGACATGGGCGGCATCCATATGGCCATGGAGGCATGCGCATGGCCATGGAGGTATGCGCATGGCCATGGAGGCATGCGCATGGCCATGGAGGCATGCGCATGGCCATGGAGGCATGCGCATGGCCATGGAGGCATGCACATGGCCATGAAGGCATGCACATGGCCATGGAGGCATGCACATGGCCATGGCTGACGATTCCTTTTCTTTTTCCACCCCGTTCCAGATCCGGGTTGCAACGCCCTCGCGCCGTCTCCTGGCGGATCATCACCCCCGCATGGACATGGACATGGGAGGCATGCACGTGGCCACGTTATAGATTCTCAATCTCTTCCATTTTCATCCTCCCCTCTACCCGTTCCAGATCCGGGTTGCTACGCCCTCGCGCCGTCTCCTGGCGGATCACCATGCACGCATGCACATGGACATGGGCGGCATGCACATGGCCATGAACAGTATCGGCATGATGATGTCATCACCCTCCACTTCGGAACCTTCCGCCGATGCTTCTGCTGGCGTTGCTGGGGGTGCGGAATCCGGCGGCGAAGGGGAGTCCTGCGACACGTGCATTATCGAGGGGTTTCATCTGATAGAAGCATCCGTTCGCGCCAAGATCAAGTGGATCTGCGCGCACGCAGAGGACGAGCACGCGCCGCCACACCTCAGGGCGATGTGCGCATTCATCCACCAGTACCCGTTCCTCACTATGGTCATCTCCGTTATCCACATCAAGCCGTGGGACCGGGTCGTGCCTGCCTGCTTTGAAATGGGTGCTTGCAAGCCCCCTCCTCCTCCTCCCGGTCCGCCTCACGTCCCCGCTAACTTCCCTGATTTTCCTCCTGGTACTCCTGGCTTCCCTCCTCATGGCCCTTGCCCCCCTGGACAGGATTGCCCTCCTCCTCCTTGCCCCCCGGGTCAGGATTGCCCCCCTCCCCCCTGCCCCTGTCCTCCTTTCCCCCGTCCTTCCCTCCCTACCGACGTTGTCCCCCTCCCCATCCTCCCCACTCTGGACCTCAACATCTTCCACCCCCCTCCTCCCCTCCCTCCTCCCTTCCCTCCTCCTTTCCACACTCCCTTCACCCCTCCTCCCTTCTCCCCTCCTGACCACCCGCCATTCCCTCCTCACCCGCGTGGCCCCCCTCCCCCCCCTTGCTTTCTCTCCGGTGTCTTCCGTTCTGTCGGTGGCTTCTTTGCCCGGATCCTTGGGTTCCCCCCTCCGCCTCCCCCGCCCCCTCCGCCTTGCGCGGGGGATGAACCGGGAAATGTTTTAGCTGAGTATCTTTTAGCTGAGAGTCAGATGGTCAAGGAGGAGCAGCTGCCAAGTCAAATCAAGGGAGATCTGGGAGAGATTGGCGTGGTGGAATCTGGGAATGCAGGCGGGTACGCGGGGGCGGATGCAGAGACTTATTATGGGAATGTTGTGTTTGCTGATGCAGGCGAGAACCTTGCTTCAGGTTCTGGGATGGTCAGGGTGATGCGAGATAATACAGAGGGGAAGGGAGGCTTTGTTTAGATTGCCTGAGTGTGCAAGTGGACGTTACTATTTTGTTTGGTGGGCATTCTGCACTGGTTTATTAGGGTTAGAAATGCCTAGGCGGTTTATTTCCTCGTAAGTGTAGATGTTATACAGAAGGAAATGTGGGCTGTTGTGGGCTGAAACGCATCTTGGTGGTGGAATAGTGGAAAATGATAACACCAACCAAGGTTTGTTAAACTGTAAAAGTCACGTTCCTGAACGCCCACTGGTGACAGTGACAGATATTTTAAACGAATCTGCTGCGCAACAGCAATTCCACAACCAGCCACCACGGCGAGTTGTGCGGGTGGTAGATTCTTCCCTCCAAACGAACACGACGGACGGATGGACGGATGGAAGGACGGATGGGTAAAATATCATAAAGAACAAGTTTCCTGGGCATTGCTCCACGCTTCAGGCCAGTCCGGTCATAATTTACGGTGTACAAGTCCCCCGGTAGGCCGATTGAACTTGGTTGGTTCGATATTGAAAACCAAACTGGAAAAGTTGACTGTAATGTTAATCCTCCAAAACTTCAGTCGCCAGGGTAGCACCGGAAACCCTCGTTGAATGACTGGCGAAGTGAGTATGGGGGTGCCTCGCACAGTGCGTGTCTTGAATTGAATCACCTTGCCGAGTGGACATTGTCGTGCGTGAGCATCCGACTGTTGTGTCGTACAGTACCTGTATGCCAAGCTGGCCAGGTCGGATTGTATCCGCAGCTGTTGTTGCCCCGAGTAAAATCGATGATCCCGTCCCCATCCACTGTACACGCACGAGTTCTGCTTGTTTTTGTGATGACTAGTTTTGTTGTTACTTTCTCGTTGCCACCAGGGCTTACGCTAGGCCCTAGGGAGTTTCGGAGGGTCCCGAGATGGGGTCCAGAAGTACCCAGAATTTTCCGGATCCCAAGGAATTTTCACCCACAATCCTTCCGAGTTCTCGACAAAGCAACCCTGCCAAAGGTCGTGTTACCTAATGTGTACAGAGAACATGACTTGGCTGATTGGCTTAAGTCCTGAAATCGTCCAAGCACCTGTTGTGATTCGTGATGTGAGAATCTCGCCACCACGAAGTGGAATGGAAGTTCTCCTCACTGAGCTCCAGGCTACGAGACCAGTTCGTCAGGATTCATGAGAATAGGACACAGAATGGATCAGGATTTCAAGGAGAATCCAGTCGGAAACATTAAGAGTTTTGGAAAATGCCAGCCTGTTAAAATCCGGGTACCGGGGCTTGAACAACTCTTAATTTCTTGACATTTAGAGTAGCTACCCTTCTAGCGTAAGCCCTGGTTGGCACCACCACCGCCAGCATATATAATTTGCCCACACAGTCACATCATCGCTTGCAGACGGTGATTGAATTTCGGTCCCTCTGTAGCAGGGCTTACTTTAGGGTTTTCGTCCACACGGCAGATCCGGGTATCTCTCTCACGGGAACCGGATTAAACAGGGGTTGGAGAGTTACCCGTCAATTTCCGGGTTCTGTCCTGGATTTTTTTCCGCGATGACAAACGCTCTTTCGAAAAGTTTCTGGATTCTACAAAGGGAACCACGTAAGAGTACTGCGCTCAGCTCTTTTACTTCTACTTCTTGAACTTCCTTGCTAGGGCTAATGTGCCCTGGGTGGAGGGAATGGGGGGGGGGGGGGGATCTGTGGGGTGGTGTGAGAAGTTTTAGTATCCGTGTTTCTCAAAACCGAACATGTCACTTGACGTGTTCTGGTAAAAATGTACCCGTCAAATCAGAGTTCATGAAAATCGAACACGTCGCAATCCAATTCTGGTCAGAAACGCACCCGCTATTTTGTCGAAATCCGAAACATTACCCGTAAAAAATAAGCCCTGCTCTGTAGGTCATTCGTTTTCCAGGCGGAGGGTTTTTTCGTTGCCCAGAATATGAATGACTGGCCCTCGTCCAGAACAGTTTCGGTTGGTCACCAGGGCCTATTTTTCAAGGGTTGTTGCCCTGAATTTGAGTCAAATAAAGAGCAGTTTTTCAGCTGGCCCCACAAATTAAGGGTTGGATTTTAATAAGCCCAGGAGATTAAGGGTTGATGCAGAGTGTAACCCTTAAGATTAAGGGTATATTTGTTTCCTATCCTGAGTGTACTACGACTGCTGATAGGGCTACATGGGGGATCTCCTTAAGAGGAACAAGTCCCTTAGAAGATTTCGACCTTTCCCCTCACAGCACGTTACTCACACTCCGTAGTTACCAACAGAGGGGAGACAACTCCCTTAGTAGATTTTCGTTCTTCTCCCCTCACAGCACGTTTCTCACACCTCGTAGTCACCAACAGAGGGGAGACAACTCCCTTAGTAGATTTTCGTTCTTCTCCCCTCACAGCACGTTACTCACACCTCGTTGTCACAAATAGAGGGGAGACAACTCACTTAGTGGATTTTCGTCATTCTCGCCTCACAGCCTGCAGTGAAAAGGGTACTGTGAAAACGAACCCTGATGATTGAGGGTTTCCTTTCGCTGGACCCTGAAAATTAAGGGTAGACTTTCAAGAAGCCCGATTTTTTAAGGGTGACCAAAAACCAAAAGTAAGCCCTGTTGGTCACCCACACACCGTGGAAAAGGACTTCAGATATTTTATAGGTGGATAAGACAAGAGCGTCGCGAATGAGTGCAGGCATCTGTTCAAGACTGGTGATCGAGCAGGACTCTCGCGATCCCACGCTTGGCAAACCACACCAACCATGTTCAAGATTGCCACGCTCGGACATAAATATCCCCTAGCGGGCTTCATCAATTCAAGGTGGTTTCGAAAATCAATCAACCTGCTGTTGCTGACAATGCACCGTATTCACTGTAGCGATTCTGCCCATCAAACCTCGGAGCAAATTGGAGGCAAGACCCTACAGCACTCCTCAACAGAACTCAGATTAGGCGGGGGAAAAAACATGTCCCGCCAGCACTGCAGCTCACCAACAGGTCCCTTGGAGTACACATGATGTCCGCAAAATGCTCAGCCCAATTCTGCCCAAAGGTTCACCCTCCCAATCAATAATTCCATCCACATTCATCCAGAGCGACTCGTGAACAAGATGTTACAGTCGATGCCCAACCTTATCGCAGCTCAACCTGGCGGCCAATCAGAATCCGTTCCCTAAACCCCCGATATACGGGCAATGTGAGATCCGTTTGAGTCACTCATGATTGCGTCTGCGACCAGCATATAGCAAGGGACAAGTCGTTGACGACGAGGTTTCGTCGCCACGGAACTGTGTACCGCCATCGCCTGATCGCTTCACAAGAGTCGCACACTGGCAACAAATATCACCACACAAGCCCCCCCCCCACAAATACCCACCCATTTCGCCGTGTGCTCGTGCGAAAGCCTCATTTGCCCGTGGCGAGGGACAACGAAATACTTGACCGATTGAATCCCCGGCACCCTAAAATCTTGTGCGACTCTGTCGCGCCTCGACCGTATAAAGTCGGGCACCCTTTGTACACTTGAACGCCCATCACTCGAGCGCTCCACCCTTTCGTGGGGATGAGAAGCCAGGTGAAAAGCCAAGCGAATGTACGCAAAGGTGAACGAAGCGTGCGAAGCAGCGCTGACACACCGAAACTACACCCACCAGCCAACTGAAACCCGCCGGGATTCCCCCAAGGGGCGTTATAAGCGATTGAAGGGGCAGGCATGCCATTTGATTCCCCCCGTTTTCTCTCCCTTACAACGGATATGCCACTAGGTCCATGACATTGTACTCTATATAAAACTCTAACGTCCGTTATTCGATACGATCCACCACGATGTACTCCGTCTATACATTGTATATCTACTGTTAGATTTCGCAAAATAAACATACTGACCAATCACGACGGTCGCATAATGCCACAGACCATCAAAGCGCGCCACCCGAATTGGGCGCAATTTCAGCATCCGAGCTTCGCCAACCAATCCACGAGAGCGAGCTTGGAAAATCCCAGTGAATTGTGTTTGGTATTGGTCAGCTTATACGCGCATGACATGGCGATGTTACGTAATCACGATGGACCATGGGGGCGACAACGAAATCCCAAACAACCCGCTAGTACCCCCGTCCACCTGGCATCTTTGCCTGTGCGCTGACACTCCGAGGCCTACGTACCCCCTCGGCATGCGTGGCTGACAAAGATCGTATTTACAGACTGCCAAATCAGTCTTGAATCACCATCCCAAAATCATTGCCGGGCTCAACCGTGTAGTCACAATGAGGTTACTTAAGATGACATCGCTGACGATCGCTATGAAGGTCGGAATTTGCCGACATGCTGAAGCTCATGGTCACCTTTGACTCGCCGATCTCTAAAGATGGTGTTTTATTAGATACGGTATCTATCTCGACCCCAGCACCGTGGGGAAAATCCTAAAGGAGGTGGCCAAGTGGAAAGCTCTCGGGCCCGAGAGCTCCGACAATCGACGTTTGCGTTCTGCCTTCTATTCCTTGTTTGAGCAGCGCCTGAAGTCATGGTTGAGCCGGGCCGGATGGGGTGCCCATCACCATCGGCACCATCCAACAACGTGCTCGGATTATGGTACCACATGCCGGCGTCCCTGAGGGATTTAAGGCTAGCGTGGGCTAGGTCCATAAAGCGTTGAAGCGGATGGGATACAAATTGGCGGCACAGGCAGGGGGAAGCTAACGACCATGACCTGGGCGCAGTGATGACGACGAAGTCCACTTGCCCGCAGCTGCTCACTCTGCTCGGTGTTGCGCCTCGCGACTGTTTCAATTATGATGAGTCTGGATGCGCTTGGAACCAGATTCCGAAAATAACTTTCGCTGACGGCCCTGTGAGTGGCGGAAAAAATCGGAAGGTCCGCATAACCGTCGCACTGATGTGCAACGCCGATGGCTCGCAAAAGTTCAAGCCCCTCATCGTGAGAAAAATCGCCAATCCTCGTTGCTTCGTCCGGAAGAAGTTCGACCTTGCGACGAAGTGCGTGTGGCGCATCAATGGTACCGGTTGGATGACTAGCCCGGTAAGCGCCCGATAGTTTAACGCCCCTGCCCTTTTGGTCCTGTTGTTTGCATTGTGTGATTGCTCGGTTGTTGTTGTTGCTTTGTTTGCCCGTAGTTTTCCAAAAGCCGACATTCGCATTGCAATACTTCTTGCCCCATCCACCGCACTTATTCGCAAAGTACATCGAGCATATCAACACCTGCTGTTTCGCCGAAGAGCGAAGCATCGTAATCCTGCTGAACAACGCTAGCTGCCACAACATGCTGCTTCCGTTCGCCACGCCGGCTGACATCCTGGGCTTCCGCACTCGCGCGCTTAGCAACGTTTGCCTCGTCTTTCTCCCGTCCAACATGACGTGCTTTAAGCAACCGCTGGACAAGGGTCTCATCGCGACGCTAAAGGCTTGGTACCGCACTTTCCAGACCCTTGACATGTTTCGCGAATTGGAGGAGTTTCGGAGCGAGGGGATGCTGTTGTAGTACAAGCCCGACATGGTGTTGGTTGCAAATTGGCTGTCGGACTCGTGGTTCTCGATCGAGCCCGTGACCGTGCAGAAGTGCTGGTGGCGGACGCATATCCTCCCTGTCAGCTGACTCGCGAGACCCCCCCTGGTCGGCACCAAAGCCGCTGAGCATGAACATAACCCGCTCGCCGAGTTCCTGCCAGCCGCAGAGAATTTGGCACGGCTGCTCTGGGGCGACGAGGACCGCATGGATGCAGTCCAGTTCGTTACGTGCGACAATGACGACGAGATCTGCGACCCAAGCGGCGAGGATGCCCTCGCTTTGGAACCTTTGGGCTCCCCCACATGCAGCGCACGATATCTCTTTGCCCTGGCCATTACGCAGCCCGTTAGTGATGCGTGCAATCACCGGCATCTCAGCCGCATGGCGACCGAGATGCTGGTCGGTTATGTGCAACCCATCGGGCTCATCTTGAGGGACCTAAGCATTGTGTTCGATATTCGGGACCCCACCGTCATTGAATGTCTAGAACGCGCATCTCCTCGCTTGGACCTAAACTCTGCTCCAAGAGCTGTTACTGTAGAGTACCGCCAGTATGTGCTGCAGGCGACGACCGTTATGGATGGCTGGGTGGACTCGGGTGAGTGGATGCACTGAGGGAGCACTGTGTTGCTCTTGGCTGTTGTGTGTTTGGCGCTGCGGCTGCTCTCGGGAGTGTGCAGACATTTGCTGTTGGAAGCGTGGGTAACTTGTGTGATTGCTTTGTTTTGCGAATTGGCTTTGTGGTGTTGCTCGGTTGTGTAGATTGCTGCGTCTCTACTTCTGTCCATGCAGATGTGTGTTTATGGGCCCCTGACGGTTGGTTTGAGTGCTTCGGTGTTCACGGATTGTTTGTTGTGTGTTGAACACTTTTTAATTACACATGTTTTGAAATCCTACGTATCGCCTAGTAACACTGACTGTTGCAGCATCGGACAAGTCACCCTTCTATGAACAGAACATGCCAGACAAGTCACCTCGCCCCCCATCTTAGTCCATTTTGCCCCTACCGTATGGGCCCTATTCGACTAAGTCTAGATTCGCGAGTTGCAGATTTGGAGCATAGAGCATACCCGCTGTACTTGTATTCCTGCTACTGTACCGTCCTCGTCTCCACAGGTTATTTCGCGAACGAACCGATGTCGCTGGTTCCTTCGACACACCCGAACGAGCACCGCAGTTTTGTGCATCAGCTGTGGGCCCAGTGTGGTCACATGACGAGCACCCCCACAACACATCATTAGAGCAGACAAAATCATTGACACCACAACAACCATGCCTACCAACCATGCTTTCAGCTCTTAATGCTCTCTCCATCGCCAATGCTGGCATCGTCTTTCTGCTCGATTGCCTTCGCGTCCTCACAAAACCGATAAGCTTCAAAGTCGGAAACTGATTCCGAGGAAATATCTCCTGCTTCTGCATTGCAAACCCAGCTCCCTTCTAGAAGTCCTTAGTTCCTTCGTCGTCTTTATCACCTGCGTTCTTCGTTGAATAGCAACTAGTAACCGCTATATATTCTCTTCGCAAAAGAGCAACTACCCCTTCAAGAGCCTACTCTCTTACTCGGTTCGATGTTGACTCTCGCGGAGCTTCTCGACGCCATGTCGCCGCCAGAGGCGTCGAACCCGCACGCTACAACGTCAGCGGCCATACCCGCGAGTCCCGGCGGTATCCACGCTGGAGGAAAGCCTTGTTTTGCCGCAGAGCGCGGGAAAATGGATCAACGCTCGTGGGTTTCCCAGGACGGCGGTTCGGCCTTAACCAAGCAAGCCGACGGAGGCTCGGAATCTCTATTGCGCTCAAAGGACCCGTTTTTTCGGCGAGCACCTAATGCCGTGTTCTCGTCGCAAGAGCGTCGCTCGCCGGGGGAGCGCCGGCCGTCGCAAGAGCCTTGGTCGTCGCAGGAGCTTCTGTCGTCGCTTCGGTCGTCGCAGGAGCTTCACTGGCAGTCGTCGCACTTGCAATCAAAGGAGAATTGGGAGTTTCTTCGAGCCGCCTGGAATCAGCAGCCGCAGCGGCGGATGTCATGGCAGCAGCATTCCCCCGCGGGGCCGCCATCATCGCCGCAACATCCGCCGCAACATCCGCCGGGGCATGCGCCGCAACAGCCGCCGCCACGAACGGCGAGCTTGCCGCAAGGACACCAGCGGCGATCATGGCACAACACGTCGCTCTCTTCTCCGCTATCCCCGCCGCAACTGCCGCCGACCGTAGCACGGACACCAAGCCTGCCGCATCGGCGCGAGGAGGCTTGGGCGCAGCAATGCCACGTGGCGCAACCAATGCCTCACGCGCAGAGCAGACATCATGCTGACGTGTCGCTCGTCGGACTACCGGAGTACGCCTACCATCCGCGTCGGCGCCCCGCGCAGCTGACGACGACGGAGGGCGCGCCACGTCAGCTTTTCATGAGAGAGGCCGACAGCATTCCACCGAACCCCGTATTTTCAGGGGGGAAAAGCGCGGCGAAGGAGGGTTTCGCGGAGAAGTCGCCGAAGACTACTACTCCTAATGGAGCTCCTACGGCTTTAACTTCAAGTTGCGCCGACGCGGACGAAGCGCGCCGGATTTCTGCGTTACTCCACGCGTCGAATCAGGGCGTTATGGTCCAGCAACGCATGGCGATGAGCGGAGTGGATTCGGAGTCACGATTTGTCGCACGAGCCCGCGCGGACGCGGCGGCGGATGCGGCGGCGTCAGCGGGTCGCATGCAGCAGCTTCAACTCCACGCGGCCGGGGTTTCGCAAGCTGCTGCTGCTTCCATGATGACTCCTACTGCTTTAGCGACGACTAATGATGCTCCTAGGGTTGAAGGAAACGCGGCCTTCAAGAGCTGGTTTTCGGAAACTCCCGCGTTCCGGAGCCCGCCTGCTGCGACGTCGGGGGAAGGGAATGGCGACCTCGGATTTTTGGATGGTGGTACACTCCGCGCGAGGCCTGGTACACTACTACGCGCAAACGCTGACGCCGCTGACCGTAACGCGTACAACCACAAGCGACCCTGGCGTGTACATAGTGAAGATGTGGTGGAAAGTGTTTCGTGCAACCATTCTCCTCGTTACACTGTAACCTGCCCCGTCGCCTCCTACCCTCCAGCCAGCACCTCTCTTTTTGGCTGTTCCGCTTTTGCGCCATTCAACAGCCTTTACACGCCGTTTTTCCAGGAGAAGCCTGATGCAACTGCAGCAGCTTCCACTCCTGCTATAAGCACTCCAAACCCGCACAAGCACATCCGGCTGTGCCACGGTGTCGCACCATCCTCTCCAGCAGCTTTTCCTCATTCGCCACGTGGAGCTGCTGACCTGGCACGAGCTGAAGTTGCAACTTCAGGGAGAGAGAGCTGTGCGCCTGTCACCACTCCAAACAGCACTGCACCGACTTGCTCCTTTGGCCTACCTGTTCCTGGGGCAAGGGTGGCGCTGATTGGACCTCCCATGGACGCTTGGAGCAGCGGTGGAGGTTGGAGGATGTGTGATGCTTCTCCTGTGACGATGCACCTGCAGGCTGAGCATGGCGGTATTGGTACAACGAAAAGCCTATCACCTCTGTTGCCAAAGGAGACAAAACATGAAGTGGAAGAGGTGGTCGAAGGGAAAGAGGGTCATGTGGGTGCCATGGTTGGGTTGGAGGGGCCCAATGAGGGTGAGAAAGGATATGAATGTGGAGAGGTTTTCGATGATGCGGTGGATGATGCTCCAAAAGAGCAACATGAGTGCTTCAAGGATGGCGATGAATTAGTAGATTTGACTTTGTCACTTGGGGGAAGATCTTACATAGAACGTGCATAGCCTTTGTATTGGACTGAAGTGTATTTTCTTACTGCTCAACCAATTTACGATAATGGCAGCAGGCGAAAGCTATTGAAACTCCGTTACATGCCTAGAAATATGCTGAGCTGGCCTTGACTGCGAATGTCGGCGACAGGATTAGACTCTATGGCCTAGACTTTTTTCTGCGAAACCATGGGTCGCATTCTGAGCGGCGAGGTCCACTCAGCTTCGCGCTGTGTTTGCGAAACTCGCAACGCCAGTACGACATTCGTGCTGTATCTCAGGGCCAAGTGATGGATGGATTGAAACGCGCTGCGCCATGCCAACGCTGCTTTGGCTGTGCGATTCGGTTTTGCTGCGCTGGTTGGGAGATCCTTCGCCAGCAATTTCTCCATCTCCCTCTCCTCCACCCCACCCCATTCCTCCTCTCCTCCACTCCCACCCTCCAACACCACCACCACCTTACCTCTTCAGCAGCAGTGAACAGTGCTCGAACTCACCACATCTACCCAACACACCAGGGCTTCAGTTCTACACTAGAGAGAGTCGGTCGGTGGGAACCTTGACTAGTCACGTATTCTCGTGGCCATACATTAGGGGACGTTACTAGTGACCTGCGCTCTGTGTTCTAGCCTGGAAGCCGTTCTTACTAGGACCCCCCTCGTTCTCACTGAGTGCGCGCCCCTGCGTCGACGTCAGGCGATACTCGTCAATACTGGTAGCCCCCTTAGGTCCATAGCCAGTGCTGACACGCCGAATTGGAAGAATATCGTAGCAATGAATTGCGCGGTCCAGTGGATGGCGCTACTAGCGCTCCTCTTGACCATTGGGTGTATGGCCGCGGAAGCCAGTCATGCCGCAAAACCCGCCCCGTCCTCCGAGCTTCCCGAGTCTCTCCCGACGAATCGTCGCCTGCTGTCGCCGACGAGCCGTCGCCTGTTGTCGCCCAACGGCTTCAGCGACAGCGACATGGCGGCGATGCACGATAGCATGTGGCGCTGGCGCAACTCCATGGACCGCTCCCGCCACAAGGGCGGAATGATGGGCGGAAGAGGCGGAATGATGGGCGGACGCGGCGGACGGGGCGGAGCCGGAAAAGAAGCCGCGGAGAGCGAATCTTTCCCCGATGCCGATTGCGGCGGCGGCGGAGACGGGGGGAGTCAGGAGGCCCCACATCTGGAGCTGATTCGACGAAGCATGCGAGCCGTTGGATTGATTGGCGGATCAGGCGGAGATGAGAGCGCCACAACCACGAGCGTCGGAAGCAGTGGCATGATGCGCTTCGGCGGAAGACGCGGGATGGATTTCCCACCCATGCACATGCACCATGGCCGCATGCACGTGCCTTTGGTGGGTATGAGTATGGGTATGGGTAATATGCATGGGCACCCGATGCACTTCCGGGCGGATGTCGAACCTCCCCGCGATGTTCCTCTTCGGGATCATTCTCCCTGCGCGTTTTTCTCATCCATCTGCGACTTCTTCCGCCGTCTATTTGGCGTGCCCTCTCCCGCAATCGAGATGCCTCCAAACGAGGACACTCCAGTGGGGTTTGCTGGGAACAGCGCGCAGTTTCCGCGGAGGATGATGCGCGGGAGAGCAGCGATGGACGCGTCATCGATGAACACTTATGACGCGTTAAAGAGCAGCCTCGCTAATGGTCTTGTGCTCGAGAACGCTCAGGAGCATGACATGAACGACGTGCCTGGCATGGGGGAAATGATGGGTGGGGATGGTATGATGATGGAAGGGGATGATATGACGATGCAGGGTGGCAGCATGATGAGTGAGAATGAAAATATGATGATGATGGAGGATGGTATGGGCGGGATTCAGACGGATGGCAATGAGATGCAGGACATCATGGAGGGTATGATGGGAGGAAACAGGATGATGTTGAGAGGTGGCAATGCATAGCTAATTTCATTCTCTGGGTGGTTGTATCTTATGGCTCTAGCTGGATATGACTTCATAGTGAGTATATTATTTGCTCATATTGAGAAAGCTTGCTTCTTGTTAGTGTTAAAATTATATAAGTCATAATTTAATATAGGCTTGGTAGGTTGTTACTGAACCTTTCTGTAGAGGGTACAATCCCCTCCTTGTACTGCTCTCTCTTCCTAATCGTCACTCTTCTTTCTCGTCAACTTTTTCTCCTCACGCTCCTAGATCTACTTTCCTCACGCCATTCCATGGCGGCCTTCCTAGTATCCTAGCTAAGCTAGTGTCCTAACTTTAGGGACCTAGCCTCCTAAGTTCCTGAGATGGTATCAGAGCAGGAGGTCCTCCCTGCTGGACCGCCTACTCACGCTTCTCGCGCTGCCATGGCGCTCGTGTCGTGCCGCTGGCCGCGTCGTGCCGCGGCCGTCTCGACGCGCTGCTGTGGCGTCGCGCTGTCGTGCCGTCGCTTCCGCCGTGCATTTAACTCGTCACTGCCTTCCCGCCGTGGCGGCCATGCCGGCCTGTCATAGCGGCTTCGTCGTGCGGCCGTCGCATCCTCGACGCCCTGCCGTGGTGGCATCGACGCTTTGCCGTGGCAGCGTCACCTTGCTGCCGTTGCAGCGTCGGCGTGCCGCCACAGCGTCGACGTCGCGCTCTGGCGGCGTCGTCATGCTGCCGCGGCAGCTCGATGGGCGGCAGCGGGCAGCACGCCGTCGTAACCGCCACCTGCCCGCCCTCCTGCCAGTAAGCGCCGCGCCACTTATGGCGCGTCGCTGAAGACTCGTCTCGCCCCACCCCCCCCCCCTCCCCCCCCACCTCCCCCTCCTTCCCCTGCATTCCCCCCTTCCTTGCTGCAGCCGACGACTGCCTCATAAGGGCCCTCTCCACCGCCGAGGAGACTGGACATGCCGCCGAGAGGGCGGGGGCCGCTGCACCGGCCTCTGACGTTCAAGCCACCGCCGCCGCCGCTGTTGCCGCAGGCTTGGTGCCGCCGCACGCCGCTGCCGCCGCCGCCGTCGTCACTGTCGCCGCTGCCGCCATTGCCATCTCACGGGCCGTGGGAGCTGCCCTCTTCCGGAGTCGTTGCGTCTCCTGCTGGGAATGGGGGTGCTGGGTTAGGGGGTGTGGGTGTGGGTGTGTGCGTGGGCTTGACACTAGCAAGCCTAGGGGGTGTGTTAAAATTATATAAGTCATAATTTAATATAGGTATCAGAATTGAAAATTGAATGATGGATAGAGTGAGAGTACACAAAGATATACCGAAGTGTTGTACTCTCTAAGAGGCGACCCTATACAGTCTATACAAACATGACAAATACACATGTTTGACACACCCCCTAGACTGCATAGGGGAATGCCCTAAACAAACAGCTCAGGGCGGCACTACTAGTCCAACCTCTGAGACAAGGGTCTAAGAGACCAGTCAGAAGGAGTACAAACAAGGCAAGAACAAGGGCAGGGTGGCACTACTAGTCCAGCCATTGCGAGAGGACACAAGTCCAGTCTGAGTATACGTATAAAGGACACTACAAAGTCAAGGTCCTAGCATGTGAGAGGCTACAGGAACTAGACCAAGCTGTACATAGTGCCGCTGATAATCTTTAGGCGCAAGCGCCTTCGTAAAGATATCAGCCGTGTTGGCACCTGAGGCCAAGTGTACTACGCGAGCCTGACGTCGCTGCTGTAGCTCACGTAGGAGGAAGTACCGCAGCTGAATGTGCTTTGCTCTGCCCTCGAGTCGAGGCTCCTGACACAAGAGGATCATGGCCTTGTTGTCAGCGAACAGGACCGGGGCAGAGCTAGGCCGCTCACCTAAGTCAGTGAGCAAGAAGGTCAGCCAGCGGAGCTCCTGTGCCGCCATGGCACCAGCGTAGATCTCAGCCTCACAGCTGGACTGCGCTACAGACGAGGAGCGGGTAGCTCTCCACGAGACGGTAGCTGAGCCAAGGCTGAAGTAGTAGCCCTGGGTAGACCTGAGCGTCTCAGCGTCGTCTGCCCACGAAGCGTCTGTGTGTCCAGTAAGGACAACTGGCCTGCGTCCTCCTAGCACTAACCCCATGCCCGATGTACTAGCAAGATAACGCAGAACCCTCTTAGCGGCAGACCAGTGCTGCGGTCGGTGTCTGCCTGTGGCCACAAAGCGAGCCAGGATGCTGAGAGGGTATGCGAGATCTGGGCGAGTGCAAGTCATCAGGTACATGAGGCAACCCACCAGCTCTGCGTAGGGGCCGCTGGGCTCTACCAACTCCTCAGACACTGGAGCGGAGAGTCTGTGGTCTACAGGCAGAGGGGTGGGCTGTGCAGAGGAGAACTGAAGGCTGAACCTCTGAAGGACCTGGCGCACCAAGTGTGACTGAGTCAGGGTGATGGTGAGCGCAGCTCTGTCCCTGGAGATCTGCAAGCCAAGGTAACGGCGCAGTTCTCCAAGGTCAGTGCACGTGTGTCTCTTCAGAAGCTCTGCCTTCACAGAGGCCAGTGCGTCCTTGTCTGCTGTGGCAAAGACCAGGTCGTCGACGTAAACAAGGATGTAGAACGGAGTCTGGCCAGCACGAACGAAGAGTGAAGGGTCTGCGGAAGACGGAAAGAACTGTAGGTCAGCAAGGGTAGCACGAAGAGTGTCGTGCCACTCACGAGGAGCCTGGCGCAGGCCGTAGACGGGGCGCCGCAGGAGCCACTGGGTACCAGGAGGGAAGGTGCCAGTAAAGCCCGGAGGGCGACGCAGGTAGACCTGCTCGTGTAGGCTGCCCTGAAGGAAGGCAGTGGAGAAGTCGAGGGAGTGAAGCTCGTAGTCACGCTGAGCCGCTAGGTGTAACAGAACCCGAAGAGTAGTCATCTTCGGGGTCGGAGCGAAGGTCTGGAAGAAGTCCACTGTGAGAGTACGCCTCCGTTACACCACTTGGCCTTTTCCATATTTCATCTTCATTTCATTCCTCTTTTTATCTCATCGCCTTTTGCCTCATATTCCCCATTTTCCATTATCCTTTGGTTTCTTCCTTTATTATTATTATATCACCGACCAGGCATGGAATGTTCTAGACACGCTATCTAGCGTAATCCTGCCGTAATCTCTTAAAGCCAATAGCCTCGCGTGGCTATACGCAGGGTGATTCTATCTTCTAGAAGGGTCTATTCCCTTAGGATAAGATAAACTTGGTTACCTGATGTACTCTGGAAGTATAAAAGCGCCTTGTACTGATCGATAGTGCAACCTTTCCTCGACACATTCGATCCTGTGACATCCACCCCCTCGCGCTGACTGAAGCCTCTAGCCACATAGCGCGCCTTGAAGACCGGCGGCTCTCCAGGAGGGCGCTTCACCTTGAAGAGCCACCAGCCATCGACTACGTTCACCCCAGGTGGGGGAACTGCGTCGACGAAGGTGCCGGTGGATCTCCAAGATGCCATCTCCTGCTCCATGGCAGCTATCCACTGTGAGGCCCAGGGTCCCGAGGTCGCCTCAGCGTAAGTGCGAGGGGTCGGGATGTCGAAAGCGTCTGGGTCACCCTCAGGGACTAGCAGCATGGAACAGAGATGGGGAGCAGCCTCGGAAAGGAAAGCAAGCTCGAACTGGCAGTCCTCCAGGACGTCACTGCCAAGGGCAGAAGCACCCCCGACAGACGGAGGACAGGCAGGGTCAGAGACCAGAGCGGTGGCGTAGTCAAGGCGGCGGGTAGAGGCGAAGTCAGCGACAGCAGCGACAAGAGTGTCAAGGCACGGGACCGGAACAGACGGGTCGGTAACGAGAGAGGCAAGGACGCGAGGAACGAGAGGACGAGCGGCACGAAGGTAGTCAGACAGCGGGGGGGGCGCAACAACAAGGGAGGACGGAGGAGGCGACGGCAGAAGGGGAGGGCGAGACGCGTGGGAACGAAGCAATATAGGGTGGGAGCGCAAGACAGGCGAGGCAGGACGAGCACGGGAGGGGCGGTGAGACCAGACGTGCGACGGAGGAGTCGGGTCAGGAGACAGGGGAGGGGACATAGGAGGGGAACGAGGGGGGAGACGAGCCGGGGACGAATCCGGCGGAGGAAAAACAGGGCCGTAGACAGGAAGAGGAGGAGACGGTGGGGGAGGAACCGACGCAGGGTCGGGGGACGGAAGGCCGAGCAGGCGAAGGGCGGACACCGGCGAGGACTGCTACTGCGGCGGCACAACGGCGACACCTGGAACGCAAGCTGCTCCTCGGCTACCACCAGCACTCTCCACACCCGCACCCCCAGAGGGACCACCCCCAGGGCGACCGGGACGAGCACCCCCAGAGTCAGCGAACGGGTCAGGCGACGGCGGCGGTGGCGGCGGCGGCGGCGGCGGCGGCAGCGACAACGACGGCTGCAGCGGCGGCAGAGGCGGTGGAGGAGGGGACTGGGAAGGGGACGCCAGGGGAGGGGCGGCCGGCAAGGACTGCACAGGAGGGCCACCAGAGTCAGAAGACTCCCCAGCCGGGTCCACCGACGGAAGGGGGGTGACGTGGGACACACCAGCGGGGGGGGGACGGGGAGGAGGAGGAGGAGGGGCAGGGACTACCAGGGAAGGAGTGACCAGGAACAGGGGGGGGGTAACCGGGGGACCACGGTGGGGGAAGCGACGGTAGTAGGAGACGGACTCGTCAAAGGTGACGTCACGAGAGTGAAAGAACCTGTGAGACGGCGGGTGGTAAAAGTGCCAGTCGGACGCGTCAAGGGGAAAACCGAGGAAGACGCAGGGAAGGGTGCGGGCAGTGAGCTTGTCCGTGCCGGAGGCACGGACGTGAGCAAGGCAGCCCCAGACGTGGAACGCAGACGCGTCACCAGGAGACCCAGTCCAAAGACGGGTCGGCGAAACCTGCGACTGCTGAGGGTGCGGCCACAAGTTAAGCTGGTGCGAAGCGTAGCGCACAGCGAACGGCCACAGAAAATGGGGTGCACCGGCATGGATCATGGAGGTGCGAGCCACCTCCATGACCAAACCGATGCGTCGCTCAGCGACCCCATTCTGCTGTGGGGATTCCGGTAGGGTGAACGTCTGGGTGATGCCCTCCGCACGACAGAAGCGACCAAGGA